CAGAATTGTAGTGTGAGCGGTATCGGAGCGAAATTGGAGCGAGACAAAGCGACCGCTCCAGCCTTAATTAAAAAACCGCTCCGCGCTCTGACCAAATTCTGCCCGCTCCGCTCCTCGCTCACGCTCAGCTCCGCTCCGCTCACATGCTCTGGTTGAAATGCTAAAAAAAAAAAAACATATTTAGGTGTAATTTTTTGGGGCCAGGAATTAATTGGTTTTCCATTATTTCTTATGGGGAAAATTCGATCAGAACTCGAACTTTTTAGGATTCGAATCTGAGATCTGAACGGATTAAGTTCAAGTTCTGAGGTACCACTGTATATTAAATTATTTAGCAACAGGCTAAGGAGTGCCCAGACCTCCCACTCACCAGCCACCTCCTCCAACTCCACTGCGGGAATACCAAGGCGTTCCCAGGCCAGCCGAGAGATATAATCTCTCCAGCATGTCCTGGGTCTGCTCTGGGGTCTCATCATGGTTGTATATGCCTGAAACCCCGCCCCAGGGAGCTGTCCAGGACGCATCCTAAATAGATGCTTGAACCACATCAACTGGCTCCTTTCGATGCGGAGGAGCAGCAGCTCTACTTTGAGCCCCTCACGAATGTCTGTGCTCTTCACCCTATCTCTAAGGCTGAGCCCAGCCACCATGTGGAGGAAGCTCGTTTTGGCTGCTTGTATCTGCAATCTCATTCTTTCGATCACTACCCAGAGCTCATGACCATAGGTGAGGGTAGGAGCATAGATCAACCGGTAAATTGAGAGCTTTGTCTTCTGGTTCATCTCCCTCTTCACCAAAACAGAATAGTACACTGTCAATTAACCACAGTATGTTTTGGACTGTCAGGGAAATTGGAGTACTCAGAGCAGTCCTCTAATTAATAATCTAATTAGGTAGTAGCAATGAAAACCCACAGACATAACGGACCTTTCTGGATAAGATTGGCCTCCCCTGACTCAGAGGAAACCCCATGATGACATGGGGAAAACATGCAAACTCTACACACATGGAGACTTGAACCTTGGTCCCAGAGGTGTGAGGCAAAAGTGCTAACCTCCGCGCTACCATACCACCCCCAAACTACATATAAATTGCATATGTATTTTACAATATATGAAAAATGGCAATTCCTTATGTATTTTTCAACATATTGTAATGTATTTTTGGATTGGATTTTGCTTTGTATTTTGCAATGTATTTTTGGAGCAGACACTTGTGACACGAAAATATATATTGGTGTCCACATATTTAAATGTTTTTGTTTTTAACAATTTGCTAAATTTACTAAAACCTAAATTACCAGTATGCTGCAAGGTAACCATGCACTGCTTTGGTTATCAGAGATTGCGCAATAAACACTAAACCTTGACAGTGACACACACACACACACACACACACATGATAAATGAGTAAGGTCTTGCAATACGAGTATTATGTATGCACTTTGTCTGCCTAGTGTCAAATAATCACAACTGAGCCGATGGTTCTTCTCTCTCTCTCTCTCTCTCTCTCGCTGCGGGATTGTGGGTAATTGTTTCCCCTGCTCGGTCTCAGTCGGCATACCTCACTCGTATAGTCAAAACTTTGCAGAAAAGCACCACCCGAATAAGGGCGTAGCAGTGCGAGCGATGAATCTGTTTAACGAATGCAATGTCCACATTTCTGCGAAATCGAAAAGGAGGCAAAAGCGGCTGTCATTGGATAGGTTCCTTGTTAAAGTCACAAAAAAAGAAAAAGATTCCAATGAGCCAACAGATAGCAATTTTTAAAAACATTTTTTTAAATAAAATGAAACATGTAAAGACTGTGTAGATGTGGAAAAGCAAACAGCCATACAAACTTTCATTAATGAGGATATCAGGATGTCGTGTGAATGAGGATAACAGGATCACAGAGAAAGGAACATGTTCACGCAAGGAATTACTGATAGAATAAAATGTACTTAAACTTTGCAATAGCTGAAGATGAATGGTCATGATTTACAATCATAATGGCAACATGCCAATGAAACAGAATTTCAGCCTGTGGAGGTCATATTAAAACAGACGTCATTAGCAAGTTAGTGCAGATTGTTGCCGACCATACAAACTGTTTTCACACTTGCTCCTAATAAGTGATGGCAAAGTAATCTGGCTTTATTTAATGCAGGATATATACATGTAGGGGAACCGAAGAAAATCCACCACTCCTAAAAAACATGCTCTTAACTAAAACAACCAATAACCATCCTACCCAGAATCCTGCTCTTAACCAGAACCACCAGTCACCATTCTACCTAGAAACAGGTTCTTATCCACACCCAAGAGTCACTGCCCTAAACAGAAATAACTCTGACACCTAATCCACATTTTTTTCTGGTGGTGATTATGGTGTCGTCTTGCTGGGCAGCTTCTGTGGGCAGGTTTCCATTGTTTCCATGGCCACATGGTCATAAATGGTGCCATGCGAAGGAAGACCTGCCAGCTTTGTGGACAATGAAGGCTCTTCATTGCGGCTTTAATGCTGGTAATATTTACTGACCTGGATCTGTGCTAAGCACACAGCCTCTCCTTCCTGGTTTCTGTCCACGCAGATATATTTTCCCGAACCTGATGTGTCAACACTCTGCTTCACCAGAATGTGGCTGTCACAAATTAAATAGGTTGTCATATGATTTTGTGTTTCTTATCTGTTTAAATGGACGTGGATGTTTTCACACAAGAAACACAAGCTGACTGTTAAATGACTGGTCAAAAAGCCAAAAGGTCCAGATGGTGCAAGTAAACAGAGACACAGGTCCCTTTGGGTCATAAATGGACGCAGGAGGGAGAGTACACATTAAGGGTTATTCCAGTGTGGTACACAAACCTCCCTCTCAGGACAGGTGCCCAGGAGCACATTACAACAACAGCAAGTACACAAGCCACAAGAAGACACACAAGGTGCCAAAACAGGTGAGCCAGTCCAGCTTGGATGAAGGGGTGGAATCATCTGGGAAGCTTTTTTTTTTGTTTTTTTACCTTTGACCTGGAGGACAGAACTAGAGGAGCATACCACTAGAGTTTATGGTCCGTGTGACATTGAGGCTTGCGCCGCTATTGGTGTTCTGTCCTTTTGGGACAGTTTTACATGCTGGTCATGGTGCACTTTCTGTCCATTCCTGTACCTGAAATAAAGAGTGAGTTTTCACATCACACAACCACAGCACAGCAAGCAAGAGAATATTGAAATTACAAAAAGTAGAAAAATGTGTAAGAATCAGTTGCTTAAAGGCAGTCTCTGGGTCTATTAATGTTTTAGGGTTCACCAAGCATCCTGTTAGTGAAGGACAGTAAAGCAGAACAACAAACAACAGAAGCAAATATCCAGATAGATATTATTTAAATAATACTGAATAAATTTTAGTGTTAATATTATAAAGAATTATGCAGTGAAATGACTGTAGCACAGTACATGTAATTGTGAAATATGTATTCCAAACTGGCATCTACAAATTCCTTGATCTGTCAAAACTGTAGCCCTACCCCTCTTATTTAAGCATAGTGTTCCAGAAGGGAATGGGGGGCCCTGCTCTCCTGTCCCAATAGTCCTAAATCTCAGCGAGCTCTAACCGAAACCCTAACCGTCAGCAAGCCCCTGTCTGCGCCTATGAGGCCTGCTCATTATAGGCTTCCCACCATGTAAGCGTAGGCTCTGGGGATCCCATGACTTCTACTTCCAGGGTCACAGGGGAGCCCTCCATGACCTTGGCATTAGACAGTAGCTTGGAGAAGTTAGGAGCCTGACCCAAAAGGTCAGGTATCGCCTGGCTTCCTGACAACAGCCGGACCTCTTCCCGGAAGATGGCAGGCCTGCAGGGGCCCGGGTCCATTAGTGGGGAAGGGGGGACATGCATGTCACTGGGCGAAGCACCCACATGCACACACTCTTGCATATGCATGAAGCTCTTATGCATTGCATACAGAGTCTGCTGGCACTCACTGAGAGTGCCGGGGGCGGGCGAAGGGGGTGGGGGGAGCCTGGTCCTTAGGATGCTGGAGAGCGTGCTGGACACCAGGCTGGGGGCAGGCACGGTCAGGGGGCTGTGCACAAATGATGACGACTCCACCCGAAACCTGGACTGGCCTTCATCCTGACTCAGGACCCACCCCTGCCTCTGGGGGGCACCATCACTGAGTTGAGAGTGCAACTGGAAGAGGCCCTGCTGGCTAGCATGTGGGCTACGTGAGCACATGCCATCCTCATTCTCTGACTGGACCATGTTGGACTCTGGCGTCTCAGAAAGTGGGGGCAGCGAGATGTCATCAGGTGAGGGGCACTCGTACTCGTCATTGAAAAGATATTCCTCGGTGAGGAGGTCACCCTCTGTTGCACATGTCACCTCACCCATGGGAGGAAGTGATGCATGTTCAGATGCATCAGGACACATGATCTCTTCTGCAGAATGCGGAACTTCCCCCTGGGGTGAGAAACCTCCTACAGTGACTAAGACAAACACATCCCCAGTCTAGCATGTCAGTGGTAACCACAGGATGATAGGCGAAACATACTTGGGAACATTCTGGGGAATGGGACAGACACCCACCTGTGTGTGTGCAAGCTGTTCCCCAAAGCTTCCGAGAGACTCAGGCTCCTCATGCTCTTTCTTCTGCTCTTCTGGCATGCAAAACTCCCTGCAGTTGTCAGAGAAGCCAGGGATGGCCGAGGATGGCAAGAGGGACAGGCTGATGGTCTCGGTGTGTGAGGTGGTGTGCAGGCATTCAAGTCGTTCCATTGTGGAGCTGCCAGAGATGGAGGTGACCTGGCTACTCTCTGAGTATGCTTCACAGCAGTAGGACATGCTCTGTAGCAACGCAATGTCGCGTCCAAGTTGTTGGGGTTGGTCCATCACCCTGCTCCTCTTCTCATGGCCCGGGCCAGCATTTTCCAGAGTATGGTGTGACTCCTTCAGCTCACTCTGTGAGCACATGAGAAGCCACTGAGCAAGTGACACTTCCTTCAGCATGCGTGATGTACATGAGCGGCAGAGCTTCTGCACCTCACCATGTCTGTGTCTGTGTGTTCCCCTGGGCTGGACTGCTGCTTCAGAGCCTCTGCCTGAACACCAACACACAAATACACTCCAAACCTCAAAGATAACTCATAAACAGCAGCACTGAACTGAAGGTCTGACAAAACCTTTACATGACTTTAATGGCAGAGCCTTCCGTTGCTTTTTATTCAATTGCACACTTTACCTGTAAATTGGTTTCCAGGTTCATCAGGCCTTTGCAGAGCTCTTTGATGGAGTCCACAATCTCACTGTGTTTGCTAACAGTTTTCTCTGCAAACTTCTTCCCCTCTTCTGGACCTAGGAACAAGCTTGATGTTCATTTAAGTGCCTTCAAAACCATCTCATTCAAACAAGGGCCATAAAAACTGAAAACCCAAAGGAGATCTGTACCAAGGAGACGTATGGCCAGCTCTTTGATCTGCTGGATCCGCTCTTCCTGCTGTGGAACTGTGGGCCAGAAAAACTTCTCAAACTGCTTGTAGAGCATGCTCACAGCCTCCTTGGTCTTACACTCAGAGGAGTACTTCCCTACCCTCATGATGGTGGCGCTGGCCTCATCAGACCAGAACTGGTACTGAATTTTAAAAGAGATAGAAAGAGAGAGGAAAGTGTGGCCTGCTGTGATATTCTAATGCATTTATTGATTTGATGAATGCATGTTGTCATATGAATACTTAAACTGAAATGCAGGTTATTTCAGGGCTGTTTGTGAAATGGTTCCAGGAGGTAAGGTATTGCCCACCCTATCCCACCAAATCCTAACCTCCTCCACAACCAGATGCAGGTTAGCTGTCATTTCAAGGTTTGTCTTGAATTCCTCCATGGTCCTGTAAAAATCCCCCAGCTGCCTCTGGAGCTCGTTCACGACATCTTCCATCTCTCTCCCCTTGAGGGGCTGCTCTTTGCTGGTGGTCAGCTTGACGGTGAAGGCCTGCACCTTGTTCTTCAGCACCTGGGTTGGCAAGGGGGTCAGTAAATAATAGCCACATGTTAATATGATCAATGAAGAATTGAAGCTTCACTTGAGCTCATATGAAGGACAGGATTGCAGCTTCAGTCTCACTTGTAGTTTCTCCATGTACCGCTCTATCTGCTGAGATTGATTCTTCACTCCCTTTATGTTCCTTATTTTCTCGTTCCTCTTCATGTAGTTGAATTTTAAGTTGTTGAATTTCTTCTTCAGGTCTTTAAATGAATCTCTAAACTTAATTAAGAAACAAATCAGGCAAAAGATTAATAACTTGCCATGAACTTTGAAGAACATCAGCTACAGATGATTGGCTAAGCTGGAACTCTCCACTCAGCCATACCCTTGAAAGCTTGAACTGGGACCAGAATAGTAAAAGACAGCTGACAAGTGACTTCTAATAAGAAGAGAATTAAGCAAATGGGAGATATGAGATCACCATAAGTTGGTCATAATTAATGGGATATATATGGTGCGTTCGTTTTTCTCTCAGAAATTACGAGTTGAGTGACATCACGTCTGACAATCTCCCGTTCACATCTCAGAACAAACATGGCTGCCTCCGTGAACACGCTGCTGTGTGTTGTTGCTTTATTTTTTAGCAGATTGGAGTGAGATAATTTTTTCCGAGAGACAAACAAAAAAGAAACATGAACTAGTCAAACCACATTAAACGCTTTATAAAATATTTTAGTACATTCATAGCGATATTCTTTTTTTGAGAGGCAAACATACTACAAACAAACCAAAGACACTAACAAGTCTGGTAAAAATCAGATATTGCATGATAGGATACTGTTTACGGTCATGATATGGTATTCTCTAAATCGAACACATGCAATTACAGTTATAACTATTAATACATTTAACAAAATAAACATCTTTAAAGATTTATAAAATAGAATTACTGTTGAGCGTGTAAGCCGCCATGTTGAAATTTCATCACAGGGGCAACTCAGACAAGAAAATTCTGTCTGACATGAACATCATAAAAGAGGCATATTTTCGATGGGAAGTTATGTTTTTCGTGACGTTTTCATCTGAGTTCCAACTCGGAGAGAAATAATCGAACGCACCATTAGGCCTATACACATTGTTAGGTTCCAAGGTCAGTGAAACTGTAGCAGCTTGAGGCTTAAAAGTAGCACCTGTTTCTCTGTAAAACGATAGCATATTAGCACATTAGCCCACAGATTGCACCCATTCCCCTGGGGGTGTAGGGCTATTCCAGATTCTTTGTGTGGGTGAGTAAGAGTGACAGGAGGGCCACTGCTGTAGGGCACTAGCTTGTCACAGAACAACGATAAGTGACTTTTCCAGAGGGTGAAACTGACCAGCTATATCTCATAAAATCTAAAGATAGCTCCTTTAAGCTCAAGGCCATTACACTATACTCCTGGAGCAGCACGAAGATGGTGAGTGTCCCCTCTGTGCTCTTAGCTATTATGGAACAATGCATCTGATTCAGCATCTCAGTGTAACACAATGACAGTGCTCAGCATTGCTATCGGCTCCATCCAGAGTGATAATTTTCCAGAGCTCTTGCCAGGTTCCTGCGATAATGGCCCAAGAACGCAGCCCTGGCAGTCAGGTTGCAGCTCATGACACTAGATGGAATCAGAACCCTCCTTACCTACCAGCTGTTTATTAACTGTTGTCTGCCTGCAGGCAGTGAATTTCCAATCAGCATCCACTTCTTCAGGCATTGGAATGTGCACCCATTGACTGGTAGGCCTGTCATTTAACAGGAGCACACACCATTGGCCTGTGACTGGGTCCTTGAAGGTACAGGGGGTTGGACACAACAATACAGCCTGAGGACTAAAGTCTGATAAACATTTAAGGTGCCAGTTCTTCTATACAAAGATACTGAAAGACATGGCTTGACTGGGATTCAAAATAAAAATTATAATACTAAATTTTTCCAAGCTTGAGAACCCCATGATAAATTTTGTTAGTCCTCATACCTATCGGCCCACCGGGAAAATGCCAGGAATGCTAAATGGCCAGCCCGGGTTCCCCATGGACGACTGAACCATGTCCAATAACCAGGAACTGTAAGGATGATACAGGACCCTCAGGATCTGAGGAAATACAGGGTCACCCTAAGTGAGGGATTTCCCTAGTTAATTTGCAGTTATGTAATTATTTTCATTTAGTTCATTAATTTATAGCTTTCATATTTCTTATTTTTATATTTCTTTCTGTCCTTGCTACTTGCTCATCATGTTCTTTGCCATACAACTTACTCTCACCAAGGCCGTCTGACCCCCTGGCTCCAGGAGTCTGTACAAAGACCATAGATAAAGGGCCTGCTTCCCTCAGTGGGGGCAGAGACAGACACAGACAGACACTGAACCGGCCGTGTGAAACATCTTTCTGTAATATCTTCATTCTGTCTTAATAAACTGCTTAAGGAACCTGCCTCATTCAACTAAAAGAACCTGAGGTTTCATTGAAGAAATCTATCATGAGGAAAGTTCAGGCCAAAGCTTAGAAATGGCAGGATTCCATAAACAGTGCCTGCCAATGGGAGAATGCTTTGCCTAAAGATAGTTACTCCACAGGACTAACTGAGAGCTTCACAAAGCATGCTGTGTCTCTGGATTCACCTTCCTGTCAGTTGGCTTTGTAGCTTTTTTGCTCACACATTTGCACTTGATTGCCCAAGCTCCTGAGACAATGGTCTGTGCCCAATACAGCTGAACCTTCCTGTAAGTGTCACACATATGTGTCACAATGGTTACTGCATCCAGGGTTTAAGCACCATATCAGGAGGCTAAGCCAGGGAGACAACCCAGAGTGAAGCTCGGGGCTAGTTGAAGTCCATGTCCGGGCCCATGTGGGGATTACCTCATTCATGTCCTCCTTGAATACACAGTAGTGCAAGTGGCTCTCCAGGTTTTCCTCACAGCGATAGGCCTCCATACTCCACCTCATGCTGGCTATCTCTAACTTTTTCATCTTCTCCTGGAGCTGCTGGACCTGGAAGCCCAGGGTATGCTGGAAGATGGTGATGGTCATTTGGGGGTATGATTAAGGGGAGCAGAGCTCTTTGCCTCCATACTGAACAGGCTACAGGTGACAATCCATGTGCTACCCACTATGATCCCAAGCTGTCCCTGCCCAGAGGGATGGTGACATTAGAATGTTTGGAGCGTTTGTTGGAGGGGGATGGGGGCAGAGTGTGGGACTTACCGACTGACACACAATGGTGGCAACCTCTGCCCCCAAGGAGATGGCTTGCTTATACAGGTAGCATATGTGGGCACGTTTCTCCTGGTACTGTTCCAGTTGGACCCGAGCCTGACTAGCATCAGGTAACACTGTGACTGGCACAGCACTTGGCACGCAGTCCAGCTAAGATGGGAACAAGTCCAGTAAATCAGTATTAATGGCAGGTGGTGCTAAAGAGCTGCACTGGAGAGCCACTGTCTGGTTTCAGTTTCTGGATAAACAGGTGAAATTAATCTGGTAAAGAAATTAAATAAAAGCACTGTTTTCCTGAAGTCTGAGGGGATAAATGATATGGTAGAAAGCATGTTATAAAACCTTGCTTTTATTAAAGCTTGTTTTCCCTATGAATCTGGAGTGTGTTGTGTATAAACATACATCACGGTACAGCTGCAGGAACCGGACAGCCTTGCAGAGGACCACTTCATACTCCTTTATCTTATCCTTGACTTGCTGGTGCACATGGAGGAGCTCCGTCACCTTCTCATTCTTCTCTTTCACTGAAGCTCCTCTGAGTGGCAACAGCTCTGAGATCTTCAGCGTGTGCTCCACCTCTGCATTCAGCTGCTGTGATGGACAAAAGTGTACAGGAAGGGATCATCAGCTCAGTTTGCCAAGCAAGCTCATATTCACTGTCACAAAAACTAAGTAAAATATAACCCAAGTTATGCCTGTGATGCAAAACTTCACCAGTATGATATCTTGTATGACTAAAAGATCTAACTAATCCTCCACAAACAGCACACAATCTCACCAGAAACTGTGGTTTTGCAAGGCTGAAATTCTCCTGCAAGTTGGTCACAGTTGTGAGATCACTTCCCAAATCCATCTTGGATCCTGGAGCAAGAACATCCTCCAGCATCTTCAGGTCATGGATGTTCTTCATAGCAAATACAGAAGCATTTCATCTTTCTTAGAAGCTTAATGCTCGCAGCAGTAATGCTGATGCCCCCTTTGGACATCCACACAGCATTACAGCATCTTCCTTACCTTCTTAAGCTGCTCCTTGAATTTCTTCCACTGCTTTTTCACAGACTTTATCTGGTTGACCTGGAGCTGCCATGAGGTCCACAGGTCCATCAGGATGGCCTTTTTCTTGGTCAGCTCTTCCATGATCTTCTCAACCTGATACACAGCAGCTTTCACGTCAAGCTTGTGCTTCTCACTGGCCTGGCAGAAGTTGATGCAGGTTAACAAGGGTGTCGAGATCTGCATTATTCACAGATTTGGGAACCCTCCTGCTTTAATGGCAAATATTAAGACTTATCATGGTTCTGTACTGACTCTGCATCTATAATGTCGATCCAGAAGTCCTCACACAGCTGTTATAAAAAAACCCCAAATAAACATCTCTAGGTGCAGGGTGTAATTTACGATGTCATTTGTAACATTTACACACACATCAGAACTTTACCACAGACATACAGTCCTATGTCTATTACCCTGTCTGGTGACAGGTGAAATTCCAGGACCAGAAGGTCAGAGGAGGGGTAGCTGGCTCGGCAGGAGCTCCAGCATATCAGAGGAGCCCTCCCACATTACCGGAAACCCTATGGGGTCATGCTGGTTCTCACCATGCTGACCGAAGAGATGAGGATGTTGGCTTGCTCCTGCAGGTTGAGGAACCTCTGCAACAGCGACTGCCATTTGCCACTCACATCCTCAGTGTCATCTTCAGGGCTGCCCTTAAACATCTCCTGTACTTGCTGTATCTGCTCATCCACCTGATGGAGACCACAGCCATCGGTGCTTATGTACATCACATGTATTCACAAGCTGCTTTTATTTCATCTGGTCTTGTCCTAAAGACAAGTTTCTTTAAGTACTACGCCACCTGCAGGACACCACTTTTTTCAAATTTCAGTTGAAGTACTCCCACCTCCTCTGTGACGTGCAGAAAACACACATAGGGCCTGAGAGTGTCCAGCCATTCATTCACGCTTCTCATCACCACCCCCAGCTGTTTGGTCAGAACAATGTTCCTGCTGGACAGCTCATCGGCCTCATGAGAGTCCAGCAGCCTTAGCTGTGCCACAAGCTCTGTGATGGACTTGAGCTTGTCTGCTGTGTCCTGAATGAACATGTTAGAGATGAAGTTCATGCCCCTCTATACTAAGATGCAATTTAAAGACACACCTACTAGTGGACTGAAAAAGTTAACTGGCTTTAAACCATTAATGCCCCGGGAATATATGACTCGATGCATGAAATCCATCCTCTCATAACTGCTCCCCCTCTTGACTGGTGGCTCACCTGTGCCTGTGAAGCCAGCTCCATGTGTCTATTCAACATGTCCTCTAACTTGGAGAGCCCTGATCCAGGTTCGAGGCTGCTGTTGCTGATAGCGGAGCTGGTTCCCTTCATCCACAGGGACACCTGTGCATGAGGAGCACATCTTCACCACCTTCAGGGTACCTTACAACCCAAGCGAATCTACTGACCTTAAACCAGCCATCTATCAGTGTCCATGTGTCTGATAGCCATGAACTGCATATGCCTTACGGACATGTCCTACCTTGTATATCAGCTCTTCAATAGAGGACATTAACTGTAGCTTCTTTTCAGCCAGGTCCCGGTAGGCCTGGCACTCTCCACTGAAGGAGTCCACCTGAATATATCCCAGCACCCCAGCCATTTGGGCACTATTCAAAGATAGCGTGATAATATGCAGTATTTTTCTCTGTTCTGGTTCATATGGGTCTATTTTCTGAATACAATAAAGTCCTAATGCTAACTGTAGAAGATCCAGTATAATAAAATAATGTTTATCTGTCTATCCTTTACTTATCTCAGTCAGGGTTGGCAGTTAGAAGCTCAATGGATGGATGGCTTGAGGGGTGATTTGAATGATGAGTGGATGGATTCTGTATTCTGTGACACTCACAGCCCCCTGGAGCCCCACCCTACCCCATCCCCCTCCTCACCAGTGGGGCTGAAGCCTCTCAAGGAGAAGCTGCTCATGCTGGAGAGGATCAGCAGCCACTTCCCTCGAGGTACACTGGAGCTCCTTGTGCCACTGGGCCAGCTGAGAGTTTGACAGTGAGTGTGGGGCCTGCAGCTGGCTCTCCACACCAGCTAGGGCCTCAAAAGCCTGCAAAACGGGGAGCACACAAAGCCATTCTTTCAAACACTAGAGGGCAGAAATGGCCACCAGAAAGTGCTAAGTGCTAAAAAGTGCTAAGATGTGTTAAAAATGTGCCAAACTAAAAATGAAACAATACCCACTATCATATTATTTATTTAATATTTAAATTTATATAAAAGCTATTTGAATGTCCTTTGCAATTTATCCTCAATATTTAACTTTACCAAGAGAGCAACGTTCTTAAAACATGAGAAGCATAATAGATGCAATAGACTGGATTTCTTAGCCTCACAGATCCCCTGGCAGGCTGTGTAGCTGTGGGGCACAGTAACCTCGCCTTCTTGCTGACATTCACTCAGGACTGCTCATTCCAGGGTGTGTTCCTCTGATCATACACACTACACCAAAAGCTGCACGACACACTGTTTACTTGAGAAAGCTGGTGCTGCTTTGCCCCGATTCACTTAAGAGGTTTAAAGAGTTCCAGGACTGAACACCGCCCCAGTCTTGCCCTGAACCCAAGTTCCAGCTTGTCTTGCAGACTGACTCTGATGTTCTTTTGGGGCCACTGCATCATCCCCCTCTTTTTTTCTACACATTTTTTGCAACAAAGTCCCGTCCATCAAATGAGTGCCCCATGACTCTGGAGAGGGGAGGAGTGTCTGTACAGTGTTCAAGACAACACTGAGAGCCCTTGCCTTATTGGCCCTGGTGAAGAATGTGTTGCTTTCCTGCCGATCCCCCAGGTGGCCCTCCATCAGTCTCCAGAGCATTTCACGGAGCTCTTTCAGCTGGAGGCTCCTCGCAGCTAGAACCTCCCTGTCCTCCACAGAGAGGACGTCAGGGGCCTGAGCCAGCAGCCTGCTCACGATCAGGCTCCAGTCCTGCCGAAAGGCGAGGTGAAACTGTATGGCATCACACTGTATCATCCGGACACAACTGTCACTGCAAAAGTACCGGATCACCTTACTCACCTATTTACACAGCTGCCCATTCAGTCACTTTTTAAGGAGGAGCTTCTGCTGAGAGCAGTTAAGGATAAGGATCTTATTCCTTAATCTCTAAGCACTCAGACATGGTCACCGCTGTCAGCAAGCCCTCCTAGGCTGTTTAATCACTTAGTCATTAGGTAACCATGGGCTTGTCACACACAAAAGGTTATTGAATGCCTGAGCACCCAATCAAAGAGAGATGGGAAAAGGATGAAAGCTATTCAACTTCAGATCCATGGCTATGCAGCACCTACACATGACAGGTAGATAATCCAAGCAAAGGAAAGCCTGCTGTCACAGTATGAAATGCGAGTATGAGGAAAGGAACCCCAACATGGAAGCCCAACAAGGAAACAAAATGAGGAAACCTAATGAGGAAACTCAATGAGAAAACTCAACCTAGAAACCCAATCAGAGCACCCAATAAGGAAACCTAACATGGAAGCACAACAAGGAAACCCAACAAGAAAACTTAATGAGGATACGCAATGAGAAATCCCAACAAGGAAACCAATGAAAAACCCAGGTTAATGTGCTGACCTAGGGTCTAGGAGCTCCTGGTGCCCTAAGAGTTGTTGCAGGATGTCATTCCAGCATGAGATTAAACAGAATAAATGACAAGTATGCGACCCTTCTTTAATAAACCTCCTATATGGGGCATGCTATCAATATGGCTGGCCTTAAGGAAGGAAGGAAGAGGAAATTGCCTTTCATTTTAATGATAACCATCTGCATGTAAAGCCCTCATTTTGTTAAGATTCCAGAATTGCATCATTTGCATCATTAACAATGGGCCATGTAATGTAAAGTCAGTACTGGCACATTTTTGGGGAAGGATTACTTCAGAAAGATGTACCCAATGCAACCATAATCTAACAAACACACAGCACATAACACTTTGCACAAGTGTTTTTTTAATGATAAATTCATGACTGGCCATGGCGATGACGCAATAGACACAGACCCCTAGAAAAGCACCAATAGGAGATATTGTAAAAAGCACAGAGCTTGTTTACTGGCTCTTTAGCTGTGGCAACTGTTTATAAACTGAGCAGCACAGACCCTTTGGAAAACTAAAGACGAAACACTGTACCATCAAATGAGATGCTCCAAATGAAGGTGCCCCACCCAGTCACTGCACTGGCCAATTATTTTTAACCTATAGGATAGGGCAGAGTTTCACTTGACAACCCAGAAAAGTAATCTAATGACAGCCAAGTAACCCCCACTCACTTCCTGTTCCTGCTGCTCCCAGAGGCGGACATGCAAAACAGACTCCAGGTGGTGCTGCTGCTGCCTCATTCGCTCATCCACCTGTCGGCGCCTATCCTGAAGGATCTCCAGAAGGTTCTCCACCTTGGTACAGCTGCTGTGTGCCCTGCGCATGCTGCCCGGCCTCAGTAGTTTCTCTTTAGAGCAAGAGTGCTGGAGGAAGTTCAGCAGCTCCTGGCTGCTGTTCAGAGCCAGCAGAGACGTTTTCAGTAGGCCTGGAAGCAATAGACAGGAACACAGTGAACATGAACAGTGCGACACATGAATTCCTGGTCATTCAGTTTATTCTCAAATTGTTCATTTGAAAAATCTATCAGCATTACACACAATCATCACATAAAATGAGTGTGGTGAGACAGCAGGGCTGACTCAGCAGACACAAGCCTGGATATCTGAGTGAGTGTATTTAAACCACACTGCCACTGTGGATACTATGTCAGCTTATCTCCCAGCTCCTGGATTCCCCTTGGATGTGAATGAGATACCAAAAGCCTTAAGCGCTAAGCCCCCTGCTGCTGGGGAGGCAGACTTGCCTCGTTTAATGCTGCTGTGCCTCTGAACCAGCTCTTCCAGGCAGCCTGTGGATATCTCCTTGGACGTGCCCTGTTGGAGCTTCTCTGCTTCGTCTATCTTCACTGCAAACTGCAAACAGAGACAATGTCATCCAGTGGAGACTGTAACACGGTAAACGCAGCATCAGCGTGTCTGACACAGATCCACTCACTGATGTAGATCCGCTCTCCGATGCAGATCCATTCACTGACACAGATCAACTCACAGACAGCTAAGGAAATCCACATGGCCACAAACTTATAAATCAAGTAAAAAGTTTGGGCCCTTTTACAAAATGTAGCTGAGCGTAAGGGAAAATGGCATTTGCCACGCTCACATTTACTGTGATTTCCTGTCACAAAAAGCAACATTTATTTCAGTTAGTAGTGAGAACAGTGGCGGAACAACTGCACACAAGGTCCCGGGGCAAAACACATATCCCCCCCCCGCGCATATGTATATGTGGCGCCGCTGAAACAAGTTTTAAAGTGTGGGTGCAAGAACACAAAAAACGTAACAAGAGAATTCGACTGTCCCTCACAAAACCTGTAAATTTTTAGTGGCTAAATTGCGTTTTCTATGCAGACAGGAGGAGATTTGTTTGGCTATGCCTAGAAAACAACGTTGTTACCAGTGTTGAGACCGTTTTACCAAGGACAAAAATTCCACCTCCAGTTGCCTGCCCATCTCATCCATTTCTGTTGCAAAAATTACAGTGTATTGTCTAAGTGAATAGGGTATAGGTTAATTAGTGTGCACGCAGCATCTTTCTCATTCTCATAATGCGTCCATGCATCTGGGTATAGCCAATTCAAATGTCATTTAGCCTAACTTTTTATACAATTTAGACAGCACAGAATTATTAACCTATTTTAACGCATTTATTTACACAACCACATATTTCCCACATTTTGATATCAGTGATGTAGTGAAGATACAGTCTCTTTATTTCTTGACGCCAACCCTCCCCATTAATCCAGGCTTGGGACCAGTACCTAGTTGAGCTGGTTATGCACCTTCCTAGTCTTGATGTATGTCATCAGACGGATGAGGACGTTAGGCAGCCTCTAGATCCTACCCATCATGCAATCATCCATCCATCCATCCATCCATTATCTGCCGCTTATCCGGGGTTCGGGTCACGGGGGTAGCAGCTTCAGGAGAGACCACCTGACCACCCTCTCCCCAGCTACCTCTACCAGCTCCTCGGGGAGGACGCCGAGGCGTTCCCAGGCTAGCCGAGAGATAGAATCCCTCCAGTCCTGGGTCTGCCCCGGGGCCTCCTCCCTGTAGGACATGCACGGAAAACATCTCCGGGTAGCCGCCCAGGAGGCATCCGCACCAGATGTCCAAACCACCTCAACTGGCTCCTTTCGACGTGAAGAAGCAGCAGTTCTACTCTGAGGCCCTCCTGGATATCCAAACATCTCACCCTATCCCTAAGGGAGAGCCCAGACACCCTGCGGAGAAACCTCATTTCGGCCGCCTGTATTCACAATCTCATTCTTTCGGTCATTACCCATAGCTCATGACCATACCCACCAAACATGAAACGTCCATCAGACGTGCAGATCATGTCTAGATGGAGTCGGTCGGTCCAGAACCATATCTGGATGTCTACACAACGTGCAAATCAGGTGCAGTATCTGCACGTCTAACTCTGACCCCTCTTGGACGTAGATATGTAGTTCAAGCTGAATGTCTAAGTAGGCGACTTTTGGACATTTGTAGACAGATCGTCAATTCCATGTAAACATTGTCAGCGTCAATTCTGGTGCCTATTGTAGCTCATGCTGTTGTAATTTTAATGTTTTAAAATGTCCAAAAATAAACTGCTACACGTAAGCAAACCCCATAATCACAATTTGCCGATGCACGTCCGGTGTGTGGTTTGGCCAAGTTCTGTTGCCGTAGTGCTACAAAAAAAAAAAAAAAAAGCTGCGCATGCACTCTTTTGCAGTAAAGCGGTTGTGAGAAACTGCACATCGTTGTGGACAAGTTTAAAGTTTAAGGTAAGTAGTATTTAGCATTGTTTAGTTGTGTACATTGTTTAATAATCGCATTGCTGACTTTTTTGCAAACCAATATGTCCACATAATTAATCTGAAGGTAAGACACATCTGTACATATGGAACTCCAAAGTGTTCAAAAGTATTATGAAATATATGAGAATGATACTGTGAAATACAGCTCATTATTGTGAAATATATTGCATTCTGTTATATAAATTTACTTATTGTGAAATATGATTTCATATATTTTTAGCGCTCTTGTGAGCGCAGAACGACTTCCATTTTGTAGTAAAGCGGGAAAAGTAAAGTATTTCATCATTCAGCGTCATGAAATGATGAAATACGGCATCATGAAATGATGAAAAACAGCATTATGAAATAAATACTGACTTTGAAAAAAAATATATACATATTTCACAATAAGAAGTAGTGCTAGGCGATAAAACGATCTCGATTTTTTTTATCGATAAAAAAATGAGGATGATCACGATGATACACACAGACTATAAAACTCGATCAACCAAGTTTGCTCCGTTTTATAGAATGCGCTGAGACAGACAACTTGATGGCCTATCGAGCAGAGGTTTACTGAACGCTAGCAAAACAGCCAAAAAAGAAGCAATGGGTGCGTTCTACTTGGGCTTAGGTCTGTCTGCAGCTGACGCGACGTGGAACGCGATCTGCCGGCGGCTGCAAGGGTGGAGTATAAACTGACTGCAGCCAAGTCGGACTACTTATACTCCTCGTAGTCTGTGACACCTGACTGCAATGGCAGCACTGCCAGAAGGGTAAATCTATACAAAAATCACCTGCATGCACATTACTTCTTTTACAATAACCAACTCCTGATACAAACTGTTAGCAGTGAATAAAATTATTGTGTATTGTGGCTCTGTGTAAAAAGATAGCTGCATGGAAAATTATCAAATACATGTATTTCAAGGATTCAAAGTTATTATTGTCATGTACAGAGTACAATGCAATTCTTACTTGAATGCCTTCTTCACAGACTGGACGATTAAACCAAATAAAGCAGCGCAACATCACAGTAACTATGTGTATTGTGTATTGAGTGAATTATTGTTGTTTAAATTCACTTAGTTTTCGGTTTAAATGTATTTATTTTTGCTGTGATGTTGTAAGACACAAGGAGAGGGGGAGGTGTGTTATCATCTGATCTGATACTCCCAATAAAAATGTATTAAGAATGCTGTGTGAGACTTTTTGTACTGAATTTGCTTAA